TCTCTATACAGCATTCTGTGCTCACCAGAAGTCTAAGTGCCATCTGTCACCATACAACACTATTACAGTATCATTAACTATATTCCCTATGCTGTGCCTTTTATTCCCATGACTTACTCATTCCCTACCTGGAAGCTTTTACCTCCCACTCACCTTCACCTATTTTGCCCATCACTCCACTCACCTCCCTTTTGAAGGTTCCTCAAGAAGTTAAAATAAATAACCATATGATCCAGTAATTCTATTGCTGGGTATTTACCCAAGGAAAATGAAAACATTATTTCCAAAAGATATATGCACCTCTATGTTTACTGTAGCACTGTTTACAATAGCCGAGATTTAGAAGCAACCTAAGTGTCCATTGATAGATGAATGGATAAGGAAGATGTGGTACAAAATTATGTTTTAAAAACTTATTTTCTTCAAAGTTCAAATAATACTTAGTTGACAAATACAACATGTCAATAAAATAGAGTCAAGGAATAGGCAAGAAAACCTCCATTTGCCTGAATTGACTGACTCTACAAAGAACACGGAAGTGGCACAATCAAAACTTTTCCTTTTGTCTACACCTCTCTTCTCAAATACAATTTATTTTTTCCAAACAATCATAATAATAACTGTACAATGGGATAAGTACAGAGTAGCATATTATTACTTGCTCCTGAATGATTACTTAAAACAATCATGACTTCACTGGCTATTTCATGAATTGTCAAACTTTTTAAGAATTTTAACTTTTTAATTCTTTTGAGAGCTCATCAAAAACTTTATTACAATTCAACTTTATATACTTGTGGTTTTTCTTCTGTATTGTTAGTGTGTATTCATAAGTGGCATGTTATGTTTGGACAGAGAGCCTCAGAATGGTATCATAAGCAGAACTGGCCTTCGGGTAAGACTCTTGACTGTTTTTCCAAATCTCTAAGGAAGTGTAGTGTGGTCATTAGAGCTCATAGACCTAAATGACATCGTTGCACATTACTTTTAAAAGCCCCTTTTACCTCAGGATTCAATGGACATTATTTTACCTGCTTCATAGTTTTGTTGTATTCAGTGAAATAATAAATATCTTATCTTTAGCTTGGTGAACTACCAGTGCTCAGTTTTCTCATCTGTAAAATGAAACCACTAGATTATTGATTGTAAGCACTAACACTTAACATCTTATGAGCTATTTCATTCCTCCTTATCATCTCCCTGTTTTCATGAGTGTTGATTTCATCTAGGTTGGCCCCAAGAGTTGTAATGGGCTCTCGAGTTTTTCTTCAAGGAACTTCAAACCTTTATTATTTGGTAATTAAATAGCTGGGTTTTAGGCTTATTTTCACCCTTCTCCTTAAACCAGGCATGGGGAATGACTGATGGCTAACTTAAATGAAAGATGACTTCTCAGCATTTTATTTCTCTTTCTTTGGCTTTTGGTTGCCTGGGCCTATCAGGAAGCTACCAACGTTCAGTCTTCCTGAGAATTTAGCATTTACCCAAACTCAGTTTTCCAGTGAAATGAAATGAATGTCTTTGAGAGGAAACCTGAGAGTAAATAGTCCTGGCATCACTGGATTGCTAGTGTTCTTTGTATAAGAGGAACCCTCTTACACTGTTGGTGTAACACAAGTTGGGACAGCCACTTTAGAAAACAGTATGAAGGTTCCTCAAGACATTAAAAATAGAGCTACCCTATGACCCAGCAATTGCACTACTAGGGATTTACCCCAATGATACAGAGGTAATGAACAGAAGGGCCAAATGCACCCCAATGTTCATAGCAGCAATGTCCACAATAGCCAAATTTTGGAAGGAGCAGAGATGCCCTTCAACAGAGGAATGGATAAAGAAGTTGTGGTCCATATATATGCTGGAATATTACTCGGCTGTCAGAAAGGATGAATACCCAACTTTTGCATCGATATGGATGGAATTGGAGGGGATTATGCTAAGTGAACTAAATCAAGCAGAGAAAGACAATTATCCTATGGTTTCATGTATATGTAGAACATATGGAATAGCATGGAGGACATTAGGACAAGGAAAGGAAAAATGAAGTGAGGGAAATCAGAGTGGGAGATGAACCATAAGAGACTATGGGCTCTAGGAAACACCCTGAGGGTTTCAGAGGGGAAGAGAGTGGGGGAATGAGTTGGCCCAGTGATAGGTATTAAGGAGGGCATGTATTACTATGAACACTGGTGTTATACACAAACAATGAATCATGGAACACTATACCAAAAATGAATGAAGTACTATATAGTGGCTAACATAATAATAATAAAAAGTAGATGTTAGAATATATACAGATAAGAAAAAAGTTTCACTCATGGTTCTGAAATGCTTAACCTCTACCATGTGCATTAATTCATAAGGAAAAAAAAAAAAAAACCCGCCTTTTCCAGTATAGAATAGGCTTGGGAAATTTCACTAGAAAGTGAGATACCACAAAGATCTTCCAACTAAAAAGTGCTTTGGAAATGCATTTGTTTTTGTTTACTCTTGGCTTTCCAAAGAAGCAGGAATAAAAAAATAACAAGGCACTAGGTATTATGTAAATAGGTCCCTTAGCTAGAATGATCGGAGGAAAAAGTGAGCTTGAATAACATTAGAGCGAAATTATCCTTGAAATCTATGTCACTATGAAAAATGCATGTAGCTCCAAAGTCACCAAATCAACAAATTTGCAAAACTATATAAATATGTGAATTTATGTTATAGAAGATGATAATTTAAAATGAGTTTTGCTCTAAATTTCCAAACACATCCTATATGTCAGAGAAAAATACCTAGAATTAGTACAAGGAGACTTACAAATACTTGAGGTCTTAAGTGGCCAGCCTACGGCTGTGAAGTACAGTGTGGGAGGAATTTATTATAGGCATGTCTTTTCTATACAGGCATTGGCAGAGCAGGTTTTCATGGCTTCCTGCCTTCACTTGTGTTTAGCCCACAGGAAAGGTGAGAAATATCACCAGTTAATGACATATACAACAAATAGGGGCCCTCTTGTTCGTATTTCCACTTCAGCAATGGAGACATGAGGAGGAATGAAGTGGCATCATGAGACCTATGGTAATTTTATGTGGGAGTCACCCGCTGACCAAAAGTAAGAGCTTCATGTGTAAACAGCTGGACAAAATTTGAAAGAAACCTGAAAAACAATCACCAATAAGTTAAATTTGGAATTTGGAAGTCAAGGTTAGTGAAACTATAGGCCAGTCATTCCCAACCAGGAGCAGTTTTATTCCCAGAGGTACTTTTGGTAGTCTGAACTGGTGGGGTTGGGGAGGGGGGAAGGCAAGGGGTATGACTTACATCTTGCACATTCCTGTTTTCCTGATTAGCTTCTGACTGGTGCCACTCTTTACACAATGGTACCCATTTTATAAGTGAGTAAACTGAAGCTGCAGTAGTTTCAGTGACATACCCAATGTTTCGTGGGTACCAGAGAGCATAGTTAGAATGTGAACCCAGATCTATAAGCCCCAGCCTTTTCTAATAGTCCAAGTATAGGAGGAAGACCAAGAGAGATGTGTGTTGTCAGACTGTAAGAATTTTAAAGATTAAGAATAAAGAATTTTATAAAATAATTTAAGAATAAAGGTATAAACATTCTGACTAATCATCTCTTTCTCCTGATGTATGTGTGTATACACACATTGTTTTTTCTTTGCTCCCTTAGAAATCTCTACTACTATGATAGAAAAAGAATTACTTTTTTAAAGGCATGAATCCATAAGGAGAAAATAGGATGATACATTGGAAATACTAGGGAAAATGTGGAAGTTGGAAAGCAGGTGAACAAGTGGGAACAGGCTAAGCAGAACAGAAAATTAATAAATAAACCTAAGTCTGCCCCCAGAACACCAGAATATTACAGAAACTGGAAGAACCAGGCTTGTTTGAAAGTGGTTCTGAAACAGCAGAACTTGCTGACATTCTTGTAAGTCTTGAGATGTCCAGAGACCCTTCCCCGCAACTCACAGCCCAGTGGTTCCCCCTTTCACAACCTGTCAGAAAGGTTATGACTTACAAGGGCAGTCTGGTAAGGCTGCTATCGCTGCGGGACTTAAGGAGAAAGGGCTTTGAATGGAAGGATGATAGAAAATGGAGACATCTGTGGGTAGGAGCGAGTAATAAGGAGCTCCTTCAAAGGAGAGAGTAAATAGCTGACAAAGCAAGATTTTCAAAGTGATGAAACTCAGGGAAAGGAGACCGGCTGGCCTTCCGTAGGAGAGATTTCTTTTCGTATACGAAGAAAGCACAGATTAATGAAGGTATTTGTAAAGGTACATTGGAAGATATTATTTCTGAGAACTAAATCTCTGTAAAAGGAAACAAGGATGACACAAAATATTTGGGAAGAGCCACATAGATTTGAAACAGCCTTATAGAGAATCATCATAAAAAGACCCTTCCTCGAACCTCTCATTTTTCTATTACATATTATTGTTATCTTAAAGAATGATACTGTATATTCTCATAATATGGGTCACAAATCAACCCCAAATTATGTGATTTTTTTTTAAATTAATTGCCAGTATTTTAAAATTTAACAGCTTTTATTTTAAAAAAACAATCCTATTTAAGAGCTCCTTCTTGGAAGATTGTATGATGCTATAATACTGGACACACCTTGATAAGTATAGCCAAGTGCTGGGAACTTTTTTTAGATGGGGAAGGTATTCCATAGCTCATTTTGCTGAGTTCTGTTACCTTCCTAACCTGGTAGTCATTTGAGTTTAACATCCCTAATAATGTAACTGTCTCTTGAGTATCAAGAAATAGAGGTGTGGTTATTATCTGTGATTTTCAGAAAGAGGTGTAAGCCATCATGGGAACCCCAACCCAACCTATAGATTGAGAGTTTCAGAGGAAGTGAAGTGCCTTTTAAAAATCACTCGTAATTGGCTGACTCCCCCTGGTAAGTGTTCCTATTACCTTCTAGGACCACCCAGATCCACCCTCATAAACTCATCTGGCAAGGTAAAACCACTGTCACTCAGGGGTCTCCTTTGGTATCCACCAAAGTCCAAATCATCCTGAGATGAATGGCCTGCTTAGATTTATTTATCTACTGTACTTCACTGAATTCAAGTTTCTGACCTAGAGCTGGATGCGGCATTGACTATGAAATACAAATCCAACCAGGAGCCTTACTTCTTTTATTTGTAATAATAGTTAACATAGGAGTATCAGTTGGTGCTCATTCTATTTTCAAGGAATAATTCTTAAGTGTGACTCATTAATAATTTACAATCCATTTCCATCTAATGGTCCACTGAAAATCAATACTCTGAGAATCATTAAAGATGCTGTATGATCAAAAGAAAAAAGTCAATTAGGAAGAGCTCTAGACATACTCTTGAAAATGTTTAACTAGTAAAATCACTTCACTCAAATGTGATTAAGAGCTGCTAATTTAGGACAAAGATAAAACTATTAAAGAGTCTGCACCAGGATAACAACTCTGAAGAAATGGCTTCTAGTTAATTAGAAGAAGTTTTTCCTAACATCTAGCTATCTTGCTCTCTTTCATGCAATTTCTGGCATATGGACTTCAATTTTGGGGTTATGTTATTTCTAATGAAATTACTTCAGTCCTAGGAGGAAGCTCATAGGGTTTGGTTTGCTTGTGTAGTTTCTCTTCTCTTCTCTTCATAATTTCTCTGAAGTGATTTTTTTCCTTTAACTCTTTGTCTTTACGTTCTTGGGCCTCACATATTGCATCTTCTTTCTGTCGAATCTTCAGCTCTTTCTGCCACTGTCACAGAGAGAAAGTGTCATTGACATATGATTTTCCATGAAAAAAGAATAAATATATCAATTTATCTTTTCAAAATGCAGATTCCATATCCAATTATCTTCTCAGTTTTTCTCACAGATATTCTTGAGGAATTTAAACCCAAAAATAACTGGAAAAATATACAAGCCCTCTATTAGAAATTATGTAAGTCTCACTCCCTACCCCACAAAACAAAAGAAACCGGATTCGCTCTTAAAGTTTTTAATAATAATAAACCATTAAAAAGAAGAGACAATAGGGTTTACATTTTTATATTACAAAGGAATTTCACTTCTTAATATTGATATTTACATGATAGCATGGAATCATAAAATGAAAAATCAAGCCAAAGCAAAACAAAAAGAAAAAACAAATTAAGGTGAAAGGCAAAATTGTGATTACATATGGGATAGAAAATGAAATTGATGGGCAGACAAATGCTGATTCTGCAACAGACAAATACAAAGACTTCTAAGGGATTCATCTCCATGAAACATGTTAACTATTGACAATAACAGCATTATGTGGAGGCAAAAGTTGTAGGATTCAGTAGTTGGAAATAAGGACTGCAAACCAACCAAACATCATCATCATGAGGACCCTACTTCCCTTCTACTATCTTTAATCAAGGAAGTGGTGAAAGAGGTGGTAATCTGTCTTCAAGCTGGGTAAAAAAGTTCAGGACAGAAAGACCCTTAGCATGAAATGTTGGAAATTGCAAAAGGTACTTCATACCTTTGCTTATTTATTTTGTTACCCTCAGTCCATCCATACTCACAGGCAACCAGACTATGCTTAATGACCTACCAGTTAACTTACAAATTACTATATACTAGTGCTGGATTATAACTATTATTTGGGGTGTATAGATACTAATAAGCAGGACTAAGCCACAGAATTTACAACAAATCTCTCAGCCTTCCAAAGGCAGTAAGGTTTTTTTTTAAACATACTCAGAATAAATATTAAACAAAAAGTTTAATAAAATCATATTCACTTTTCTTATTCCCAGTTAAATTTTAAATACAAAGTTACCTTGATAACTATGTAGCCATCTGTGACATAATTTTTGTCATAAAACTAAATACTACTACTGTTTGACAAAACTACTGATCTTACGTTGTAGCATAAAAGTGGTGGTTGGTGTAATAATGACAGTATCTATAAACAAAAACAACTAAACTACCTTATATGAGAGATTTCAGTGTACTTCATGACCTTGATCTTTACATTGTGAAAAATCAACAGACTAATTCTTAAGAATTTAAACACATTCTATATGCTATTTAGACCATACTGTATTATAAGAAAAACAGAAAATACTTTTTCTCCTATTCCAACTCTACTCCTAAAAAGAAGCAGTTATAAAATGATTTCCTAAGAAATCATCATCTAAATATAGCCCAGTGAATTAAAGTGTCATAAGTGAATAATCTTCTATGGTCACTGCTTGTTTAAGTCATATCAAGAATAAAGTGATTAAAGTCCATCTTATATTTCAAGGGTAAAGAATGGTCATCAAAAATTGAGTCAAAAGATTTTTGTTCTGTTACAAAAACTACACTGTTTAAAAGACATCAGTGTTCAATATCAGATCTTTGTCCCAAGAAATCAGTACTAATTCAGGAAACAGGATGGAGCTAGTATTTCGCAAATGACAGAAAGCCAAATTTTCTGTAACCCAATAAAGGCAGTACAGTATATAGATAGCACAGTAAGATATAATTAAGTTTGGCAAAGCCCAATCATGGCCTTATTTTTAAGTTCCACGTGTTAATGTCTCAGTCTCAGAACTATACTTTCTAATTCAAAGTTCCTTTAAAGAACAAAGCTTTTGTTGCTAATTTAAGGAATTCAGTCTTACATGATGGTCAATGATTCTTGCCAACTCTTCATCAGCCCTGGTGAAGAAATCCGGGTAAGAAAACAGGGGAAGTTCTGATACAAAAGGATGTTCCCTTCAAAAGAGCACAAGAAGAAATCCAATATTAGGTATAGATACTCCTTCTCCAAGAAATGTATGGGTTTGGAAGTCATTTCATACTAAGCATTTTGATTCTACCTTGTTAACATTAAGTACTTCAGTTATTCTGTTCTTTGTAGAAAATTATATATAGCTTTTAGTTTCTATAAGCCATTTTGGGATACCTAAACTGACATTTTGAAGGGTAGGGAATACATATATATAGTATAAGAACTAGAAAATAATAAAAAAAGTAATTTTCTTCTAGGAGGTATAAATACTACAGATGTTCAATAACAGGAGATGTTAGGATATGAAGGGTTAAAGGAAGCCTGAAATAATTTGACTCATGGGGAGATGAAAGTAACCATAGTCACACACAACTTTGTGACTGTGGATGTTCTGGTGAAAGTCTAAGCCTAAGAATTTGATCTAAGATATACTTTAAAAAAAAAAAAAGTTTGATTTCAGTACTTCCCCAAGGTCTTTTCAGTGCTAAGGGTGAAACTACGGCAGACAGTTTAGCAACAGTTCAAAAGGAGTGTTGGCAGTACAAATCTAGGCCCTAAAGTAGTGGAGATTTACTGCTAAACTGTCCACTTACTAGGTATATTATGTTAAAGTTATTATGAAGAAATGATTGTGAGTCTAGAAATATGTAAAGCAACAAAATGATGGTAGAAAATGTGGTTTTAAAGGAAAGTAAGTAGGTGTAAAGGAAAAACTCTCAGGCAAGAGGCTAAGAAGAGACATAGCTCATGAAAATTTCCCATATTCAAAAGTCTGATTACTTTTTAAGACTGCAGTGTTGGACACGTTTTTTTTTGTTGTTGTTTTTGTTTTTGTTTTTGTTTTTCGCAATTTGCTGCCTATACCATTTTTAGCAAACTTTATATTTTTGACATCCCATGCTTCCCACATATCACTAGGTTCTCTTGCATTATACTTCTCAAATCTTACCATTTATCTTCATCTCTACCATCATTTCCCTACTCTAAGCCATCATCTTTCATCTGGACAAATACTTCCTTTTAGGAATCCCTAACATCCATTACGCCTCACCCTTTTAGTTCTTGTCTGTATATAGTAGCCAGAGGTTTTGTTGTTGTTGTTTTTCAAAATACAAATGGTATCATGTCAATCCCCTACTTTGAACTGTTCACTAACTCTCAATTAACTTTAGAATTAAGATCCATTTGTTGTTAAAGAAGTCTGAAGTAGACTGCGCCATTGGTAAAGTGACTTTGCTTGTTTTACTCCAGACTCACTCCTCTCTCTTCTTGGCCTAGGTTTGTGCATCCCTAGCAATGGGCTTTTTTATAGTTGCTGCAGTGTGCCTTGCTTCACCCTGCTATTGTTCGTTTGCATGTGCTGTCATCCTTTCTTCAGTGCCCATATCCCCCAACTCTCTCTGCCACAGGTCTGGCTAATGCATACTTATCCTTCTGCTCTCTGTTCAGGCCACTACCATAGTTCTCAATCTACCATGGGCCTTTCCTTCATCACACTTACCTCAGTTGTAATTATATATTCATATGTGCATCTGTGGGAGTTCTGTTTTTCTTACTTGCATATGAGCTACATGAATGTGGGAACTTTCATTTGTTTGGTTACCATTGGTATTCCCAGTGCCCAGCACAGTGCTACTAAACACTCAATGAATGTTTGTATGTTTGCTGAATTATTGGATAAATTAGTCTGAAATGATTTCATCCCCTTTACACTCCAGACAATCAGCAGGAGTCTACCAGATAGCACTTTCTTGTCAGTGGAACAGTGCCTAGGACAAGAGGATGGCAGTCTCAGGAGACAAGTCACAGAATGAAGCTAATAGCAGGAGTTCAAAAGGAAAACAACGCAAGTGGTAGGTAGCAGGGAACATATATGGGCCCCTCTCCCAACTCCTGAGATTTGGAAGCACTGTGGGGCAGAAGAGTAATGGGCTTTCCACTGCATGTACAATAGGGACCTGTGCCATTATATTAAAAAATTGAAGGAAAATACAATCCTAGAATGCTGGGAAATTGGGGGACAACTGGGAGCTGATATTTGGGCTAATTATATTCATTTAATAAAATTTTGGGTACTTCTAACATTCAAAGAATTGTGCTAAATGCTACAAAAAAAATACATAAGGGGTGCCTGTGTGGCTCAGTTGGTTAAGCGGCTGCCTTCAGCTCAGATCATGATTACCGGGTCGTGGGATCAAGCCCTGCATCAGGTTCCCTGCTCAGTGTGAAGTCTGCTTCTCCCTCTTCTCCTCCTCCTGCCTGTGCGTTCTTTCTCTCTCTCTCTCTCTCTTTCTCTCTCTCTATCTAAAAAAAAAAAAAAAAAAGAAAATCCTAAAGAAAAAAGATAAATAAGACAGAACTTTTAAATTACTTATAGGTTAAAAGTATTCACACGATTTGCCTCAATTCTTTCCTGAATTAATAAAAGTCGAAAGAAATGCATCACAATATAAATAATATTAGAAAACCTTTAAAAGGGAAGATTAAATGGATATGCTTGTGCATCTGATTTTTGTTATCTCTGTTGAATGTACTAAAAAAGAAAAATGCATAGTTATTAGAAGGCAACATGAAACAAACATTCAATGATATAAACTGAAAAATACAGTAAAATCATTAAGCATGTGGGCTCTGCAGTCCGATCTCAAAGCAAATTTTCTTTCTGCCACTTAGTACTATTTAATCCCTCTGTTCCTCAATGTCTCCATTTTTAATATAAAAAATAATAGTACTTGCCTTGTTTTGGTGAGGTTTAGAAAGGAAAATGCATAAAGCTTGTTTGGTGGAACAAATACTAAATAAGTTTGAGCTGTATCATTCTTATCATCAGCATTATTAAAAGAATGTAAAGGAGGAAGCCATGGCTTTTGGCTGGTACTTAATAAGGAGGAAAAATGAGAGCAAATTAAAAAAAGGAATAGAGTATAAAACAATTAAGTCATTAATGAGATGTACAATTTTGATGTTTGGAGTTAAATGGGGACTGGAAAGAAACCTGTCAGAAAGCTGTTATATAACAATCGTAGGTTTGCCATAACAAATTACCACAACTGATAGGCTTAAAAAAATCCATTCTCTCACAGTCCTTGAATCCAAAAGACCTAAATCAAGGTATTGGCAGGGTTGGTTCCTCTGGAGGCTCTGGGGAAAAAATATTCCATGCCTCCCTTAGCCTCTGATGGCTGTCAGAAATCCTTAGTATTCCTTGGATTATGCACACAACACACTCATATTTCTCTGTCTTCACATGGCCTTCTCCTTCTGTGTCTCTGTATGTCTTTTCTGTCTTTCTCTTATAAGAACACAAGGAGACACTGTCATTGGATTTAAGGCCCACATGAGAAAGAGAGCCTTAACTTTCCCCTAAGCTTGACCAGACCTTAGACAGGCTTCTTCCTGACCCTAGGCCCCTGGCCATCCCTTTAAAATGCAATCAGTCAAGACATATAGTGCCCCTATCTTCTAGTCTTTGTGGTAGAGAGGGAGCCTAAGTTAGAAAGTGACAGAGAGCAAGCATAGATGACCTCATCGCATTGACTACCCTCTCCTCTAACATCCTCTGGTACTTTTCCACAACCTCAACTTAGCACTTGAAAATCCTCCTGTCTTTTGTTTCATGGGAGTTGAATTCAATCTCTCTCCTCTATTCCAAGACTTGAATAAAATCTTCTTTAATTTCTGGTGTAATTTTTCTTTCACACGTGATTTCAAGATGACATTTTTATTATTAAGTTTTTATTTAAATTCTAGTTAGTTAACATGGTTTCAGGAATAGAATTTAGTGATACATCACTAATATACAACACCCATTGCTTACCATAAGAAGTGCCCTCCTTAAAACCCATCATCCATTTAGCCCAACCCCACCTCCCCTCCATCAACCCTAAAACAGTCTCTTATGATTTGCTTCCCTCTCTTTTTTTCCCCTACATTCTTCTGTTTTGTTTCTTAAATTCCACATATGAGTGAAATCATATGATACTTGTCTTTCTCTGATTGTCTTATTTCACTTAGCATAATACATTCCAGCTCCATACAAGTCCTTCCAAATAGTAAGAGTTCATTGTTTTTGATAGCTGAGTAATATTCCATTTTATATATATGCATACACAGAGAGACAAAACACATCTTCTTTATACATTCATCAGTTGATGGACATTGGGCTCTTTATATAATGTGGCTATTGTTGACAATACTGCTATAAACATTGGGGTGCATGTGCCCCTTCAAATCAGTATTTTTTGTATTCCTTGTGTAAATACCTAGTAGTAAAATTGCTAGGTTGTAGGGTAGTTTTATTTTTAACTTTTTGAGGAACCTCCATACTATTTTCCAGAGTGCCTGCATCAGTTTACAGTTCCAGAAACAGTATAAGAGGGTTCCCATTTCTCCACATCCTCCCCAAGATGTGTTGTTTCCTATGTTGTTAATTTTAGCTGTTCTGAAAGGTGTGAGGTAGTAACTCATTGTGGTTTTGATTTGTATTTCCCTGATGGCTAGGGATGTTGAGCACTTCTCCATTTGTCTGTCTTCTTTCAAGAAATGTCTGTTCATGTCTTCTGCCCATTTATTGACTGGATTATTTGTTTTCTGGGTGTTGAGTTTGATAAGTTCTTTATAGATTCTGGATACTAACCCTTTATCAAATATGTCATTTGCAAATATCTTCTCCCATTCTTCAGGTTGCCTTTTAGTTTTGTTGACTATTTCCTTTGCTGTGCAGAAGCTTTTTATCTTGAAGTTCCAATAATTCATTTTTGCTTTTGTTTCCCTTGCCTTTAGAGATGTGTCTTAGCAAGAAGTTGGGATGGCCAATGTCACAGAGGTTGTTGCCTGTCATCCCCTCTAGGACTTTGATAGTTTCCTGTCTTAAATTTAGGTCTTTCATCCACTATGAATTTATTTTTGTGTATGGCACAAGAAAGTGGTACAGTTTCATTCTTCTGCATGTGGCTTTCCAGTTTTCCTAACAGCATTTGTTAAA